AAATAAATAAATAAATAAATAAATATATGTTATATATGCAGGTACTAGCGGGCTGGTTGGCCCCCTTTAGAGACGAAACTCTACCTAATCCAACCATAAAAAAACCAAAAAAAAAAAACAAAAACACAAAAAAAAACACAAACAAACAAAAAAACAAATAAATAAAATAAATAAATAAATAAATAAATAAATAAATAAATAAATATATGTTATATATGCAGGTACTAGCGGGCTGGTTGGCCCCCTTTAGGGACGAAACTTTACCTAATGCGTCTATAAGGAGCCGTCTTTTGAGTGTAATTAATAAACTGCCGATTACAGCACAAGACCTAGCTAACAACGATCTAGGAAAGGTTCTCGTTCTACTCTGGCAGCATGATGGTGGGGTTTGTTTATTTTATTTATTTATTTTTTTTTGTTTTGTTTTGTTTATTTTGTTTGTTTTGTTTAGCTTGTTTTGTTTTGTTTTTTTGTTTTTTTGTTTTTTTGTTTTTTTGTTTTTTTTGGTTTTTTGTTTGCTTATTTACGATCTAGGAAAGGTTCTCGTTCTTCTCTGGCAGCATGATGGTGGGGTTTGTTTGTTTTTTTATTTTGTTTTTTTATTTATTTTGTTTGTTTGTTTTGTTTGTTTTGTTTATTTATTTTGTTTATTTATCTTGTTTGTTTATTTTGTTTAGTTTGTTTGTCTAGTTTGTTTAGTTTGTTTATTTACGATCTAGGGAAAGTACTCGTTCTACTCTGGCAGCATGATTGTGGGGTTTGTTTATTTATTTTGTTTTGTTTGTTTGTTTGTTTTTTTGTTTGTTTTGTTTGTTTTGTTTTTCTTGTTTTGTTTGTTTTGTTTTTTTGTTTTTTTGTTTTTTTGTTTTTTTGGTTTTTTGTTTGTTTATTTACGATCTAGGAAAAGTACTCGTTCTTCTCTGGCAGCATGATTGTCAGGTTTTTTTCTTTTTTTTTTGGTTTGTTTGTTTTGTTTGTTTATTTATTTTATTTATTTATTTTGTTTATTTATTTATTTTGTTGTTTTGTTTCTTTTTGTTTTGTTGTTTTGTTTGTCTATCTATTTTGTGTGTTTTTTTAGGGTTTATTAGTGTTTAGGGTTTAGGGTTTAGGTTTAGGGTTTAGAGTTTAGGGTTTAGGGTTTAGGGTTTAGGTACATTCTAGGGTTTAGGGTTTAGGGTTTAGGGTTTAGGGTTTAGGGTTTGTTGCAGATGAAACCGAAGCAAACCGCCAGCTGATAAGAGAGCTAATTCAGAAATGGATGAGACCTGTCTTGGGGCTGGGGTCCAGGTATATCTTTGCTGCTGCTGCTGCTGCTGCTGCTGCTGCTGCTGCTTCTGTTGCTGCTGCTGCTTCTGTTGCTGCTGCTGCTGCTGCTGCTGGTGCTGGTGCTGGTGCTGCTGGTGCTGCTGGTGCTGGCGCTGCTTCTGTTGCTGCTGCTGCTGTTGCTGTTGCTGCTGCTGCTGCTGTTGCTGCTGCTGCTGGTGCTGTTGCTGCTGTTGCTGCTCCTGCTGCTGCTCGTGCTGCTGCTGCTGCTGCTGCTGCTCGTGCTGCTGCTGCTGCTGGTGTTGCTGCTGTTGCTGCTGCTGCTGCTGCTGCTGCTGCTTCTGTTGCTGCTGCTGCTGCTGCTGCTGCTGCTGTTGCTGCTGCTGCTTCTGTTGCTGCTGCTGCTGCTGCCGCTTGTGTTGCTGCAGCAGCTGCTGCTGTTTTTTGCTGGTGGTGGTGGTGGTGGTGTTGCTGCTGCACTGCTGCTGTTGTTTCTTTTGTTGCTGCTACGGGTGTTGCTGTTGCTGCTACTGCCTCCGTTGCTGTCCCTGCTGCTGTTGCTGCTGATGTTGCTGCTGCTTCTGTTCGTCTTGTTGTTGTTTCTGCTGCTGCTGCTGCGGCTGCGGCTGCTGCTGCTGCTGCTACTCTTTCTGCTGCCGCTTCTTGCTGCTCGTCTGCTCTATGGAGGGAACCTTCGGCGTGCATTTCACTTCTCCTTTGCTGGTGTTGCTGCTGCTGCTGCTGCTGCTGTTACTGCTGCTGCTGTTGCCACTGCTGCTGCTGCTGCTGCTGCTGCTGCTGCTCAGCCATCGGCAGCTAATGTCAGAGAGGGAGAGAGCCTTCGAGGCGAACGATTTGGATCTGCAGCAAAGACTCGTGAAGGTGAACCTCTGCTGCTGCTGCTGCTGCTGCAGCTGCTGCTGCTGCTGCTGGTGCTGTTGCTGCTGCTGCTGCTATTGCTGCTGGTGTTGCTGTTGCTGCTGTTGCTGTTGTTGCTGCTGCTGGTGCGGCTGGTGCTAGTGCTGGTGGTGGTGCTGCTGCTGCTGTTGCTGCTGCTGGTGCAGCTGCTGCGGCTGCTGCTGCTGGTGTTGCTGTTGCTGCTGCTGCAGCACGGATGTGCCTTTTTTATTATTTTTTTTTTTGTTGTTATTTTTGTTTTTATCGATACTTTTTATTTTTTAATATTTTTTTGTTTTTATTGTTTTTTTTGTCTTTTTGTATATATACTTGTTTATATTATTATTATAATTATTATATTTTTTTATTGTTTTTATTTTTGCTTTTTTTTTTATTTTTGTTTTTTTTTGTTGCTGTTGTTTTTATTTGTTTTGTGTATAATAATAATAATTATTTTTATTATTATATACTTTTATATATATTTGTTTTTATTTTATTTATTTTTTGTTTTTATTTTATTTTATTTATTTTTTATTTTATTTTATTTTATTTTATTTTATTTTATTTTATTTTATTTTTTTGCTGCAGGCAGCACAGGCGGCGCAGCAGTTTTCTCAGAAGACAGAAAGTAAGACAGGGGGTGTGGGGTGTTGGTATTATGTGTCTCCTTTTTTTTTGTCTCCTTGTCTTTGTCTTTTCTGCCTCCTTTTGTCTCCTTTTTTATATAAAGTGTCTCCTTTTTTTTGTCTCCTTGTCTTTGTCTGTTCTGTCTCCTTTTGTCTCCTTTTTGTTTTTGTCTCCGTTTGTGTATAATGTGTCTCCTTTTTGTTTTTTTGTCTCCTTTGTCTTTTCTGTCTCCTTTTGTCTCCTTTTGTCTTTTTTTTGTCTCCTTTTGTCTCCGATTGTGTATTATGTGTCTCCTTTTCGTTTGTATTTGTCCCCTTGTCTTTGTCTTTTCTGTCTCCTTTTGTCTCCTTTTGTCTCCTTTTGTCTCCTTTTGTCTCTTTCTGTCTCCCCCTTTTTCTCCTTTCTATTTTCGTTCTTTGTCTCCTTTTGTCTCCTTTTTATTTTTCTTTCTTTTTTACTGTCCCCTTTTGTCTCCTTTTACCTTCTCCTAGTTAGAAGTCTCCTTTTATTTTATTTTATTTTTATTTTATTTTATTTTATTTTATTTTACTTTATTTTATTTTATTTTCTTTTATTTTGGTTTTAATTTAATTTAATTTGACTCAAATAAAAATAATTATAATTTTTATTTTATTTTATTTTATTTTTATTC